CGTTTCGAGACAGCCGTGAGAGGCGTTTGTGAACAAACAACACTGCCTTTCCGTGTTTTTTGATCTGGAGAAGGCGTATGATACTGCCTGGCGATTTGGAATACTGCAGGACCTAATCGACATTGGTATTCGTGGGCACATGCTCGGCGCAATTAAAAGTTATCTAGAAAGTCGTTCATTTCGTGTAAAGCTGGGTACCACCTTCTCTCGAGATTTTTTTCAAGAGAATGGAGTTCCCCAAGGGGATGTACTTAGCGTCACTCTTTTTATTATAAAAATGAACTCCATTGCCCATGTAATACCTCGTTCAGTTCAGTATTCTATCTACGTTGATGACCTTCAGGTTTCAGTGTCATCATGCAATCTTTCCATCTGTGAGAGGAGGTTTCAAGTGGCAATCAATAATTTAACAAGCTGGGCTAATACAAATGGTTTTAGGTTTTCTACAAAAAAAAACTGTCTGTGTATGCTTTTTTCGCCGGCGAGGATTTTTTCTAGAACCCTCCTTAACCATCTATGGACTTCCTATCAAGGTGAAAAGTGAACACAAGTTTCTAGGTCTCCTCTTAGATTCAAAGTTAACGTTTGTTCCGCACATTAAGCAATTAAAGTCAAAATGCATCAAATAACTCGGCATTCTCAAAGTGTTGTCCCATCAATCTTGGGGTTCTGATCGAGTCTGTCTCCTGCACATTTATCGTGCAATAATTCGCTCCCGACTCGATTATGGCAGTTTTGTGTATGGTTCAGCCAAAGCTTCAGCCTTGAAGATGTTGGACCCCATTCATAATCAGGGGCTGCGGCTGGCCACCGGTGCTTTCCGCACTTCTCCGATCGCCAGCCTCTATGCAGAGGCCAATGACTATTCTCTAGAGAAAAGACGTTTCGCTTTGGGGTTTATGTATTCACTCCGAGTAAGATCAGTCCCTCTCCATCCAGCTCTTGAATCGGTTGAAAAAAAAAATCAAGTTTGAGAGGACTTTTCAAAATAAGCCAAGTATCGTCCCTCCCTTTGCTCTGAGGCACGCTAAGGCGGCAGAGTACTTTGACCTTGACCCAAAGCCCCCTGTGACAAAGTACAGAAGCTCTGCAGCTCCTTGGGAGTATTCATTCATTAACTGTATTTTCACCTTGACAAATCACAGAAAGAAAGATACTCCCGATGAAGTGCTGAGGCAAGAATTTTCTGAAATACAAAGCCAGTACCAACATCACTTCAGCATTTACAGAGATGGCACTAAAACAGATTCTTTTGTTGGCTGTGCAATGGTTGGACCATCTGTTTGCCATGTAAAGAAACTTAACCCTTCTGCTACAATTTTAAAGGGCAACTCCGCTTCATTTTTGGTTTTGAAAAAACAATGCAGTCCTCTTCAGTATCGCCTAGGAAGACCACACGTGAAGTCTTACGACGCAGTTCTGTCTAAATGTTTCTTAAACGGTCCGGCAAACTTTGCAACTCGCCGAGTTGCCGAAATCGGCTGACTCGAGCGGGCGAATTCAGGCGCAACCAACAGCGCAGTCAAGGCTACGGCAGGGGCGGAGCCAACATTGAGCTAAACGCCATCTACATGGCCCCCTTTTGCTTGTTTTCACTTGTCCGATCGAGCGTAGCGCATGACGTCAGCAACGTTGCCTGTCGGCGCTCAGCGGTGTCCAAGTGATTGGCGTACGCGCCTGCGCAGCGCGCTTCTTGGGAGCAGACCAACCGCCCGCCGTGGTCCCGCCGTTACCGCCGTCTTCCGCGTCACAACCACCGTTGTCGTCTCACCGTTTGTGATTATTGCCTCTCGGAGTTTCGTCCACACTATGGACACTACGTGCGCAGAGTCGCAGACTTATGCCGCAGTTGTGCAGACGTCGTCAAATGCCGTAGACACCAAAACGTGGCGAAGAGTGCGGTGCAGACGACACTCGCGCCTGCCGCACGCCCGTCGCCCCCATCCCGCCCGTTGTTGGGCCGAGGATCACGTGACATCTCGTACCACGTGATGGTCATGTACTTTGCGGTCCAAGGCCAATGTTGCCGGACGGAGCCGAAGTTTCGGTTTCGATTTCCGCTCGTGTTTAAAATTAGATTTAAAAATATATATCTCATTTTTCGCGAAGCAAACGACGTAGTGTCCTTTACTAGGGCTTTTTAATTCGAAATCACTCATTATCCCGAAATCTTCGTAATTGAGCGGAGTTGCCCTTTAACAGCAGAGTTGCAGGGTTTATTACTTGCTGTGGAGTATACACTTAAGAAAAGGCTTCGTCGCTCTGTAGTCTACACGGACTCTCTAAGTGCATTAAAAGCCCTTGTTTCACTAAATTTAGTCAAAAATCCTTGGGTTGCTCAACTGCAATATAAGATAATATCAGCCACCAAAACTGGGTACGAAATTATTTTTTGCTGGGTGCCAAGTCACGTTGGCATCCGGGGTAACGAGGAGGCAAATCAGGCCGCTCGCTCTGCCGTCACACACTTTGTGGATACAAGAGAAATCCCTCCAAAAGATTACTGTAAGAAGGTGAAACATTCCATAATGCAGAAATGGCAACATGAATGGAACCGCGAAGTAAACAACAAGTTAAATGCGGTGAAGCACATACTGAAGGAATGGGAGAGTGCCCGACATCGCGAACGTTTCTACGAGGTGGTTCTCTGCCGTCTAAGGATTGGCCATACACGACTAACGCACGGGCATCTTCTGCGTGGCGAAGATTCCCCGAAGTGTGAGCATTGCCATAGCCATCTAACCATACATCATATTTTACTTGAATGTAATGCGTATGACCCAGAACGCCTTGACCATTTTTCGCAGCTATACAAAGAGCATACCCCATTACATCTTATGATCTTACTTGGCGATGAACCTCTTATTCCACACTCTTGTGTTTTTAATTTCCTTAAAGCAATCGGCCTTCTACACCGACTGTGATTTTTTTTAAGTCCCTAAAGTCAGTTTCATACCTTTTACACTTATACACACCACATGTTCATAGTTTTATCCCATCATCTGCTACTAGAGCTCTTTCTTCTCCCTAACCCTTTTCGGCAATAGTTTATGTACCTGGCGCATTATAGCCTTAGATGCTTTTGCGCCACAAAAACCCAATCCAATCCAAATCCGCTTTTGCGGGTGTGTTGCTTCTCCGCAGTGCACCGGTGCTCGGCGCGAAGCGCGCTCAACACTTCGAAAAATAGAAATATTACAGTCACATTTTTAAGAGGAAAGGCCACTTCCAAAACGGGATGGTGCACGCACGCAAGCGTTGTGTGTTAAATGGAGCGTAAACTTTGTGAACGTCAATATTTGCACAGCAGTAAAAGTTTTTAAATTAAACTGGCAATTATACAACAGTGTATGTTAGACAGATGTCCTGACAACCTAAGTTCATAAATCATTTTATTTTTTATTTTGTGAAATTTATGTTTCATAAATATTTATAGCAAGATAATTTATAAATCCCCTCGTTTAGGTCTAGCTGGGCATCTCTATAGCTTTAATTTTGTGTAAAAGGCATAGTTTACTTGCCATTCCCATGTAGGTAAAAAAGGCTTTCTGAGATCACAGCCCATATAGCTAGATGAAAATTAACTTGCCGTAAAATCTAAGATAGAACCGAAAGATAGCCCACCCCTATTTTTGGCTTGATTTGCTATATTTTTTAACGCGCTCAACACTTCGAAAAATAGAAATATTGCAGTCACATTTTTAAGAGGAAAGGCCACTTCCAAAACGGGATGGTGCACGCACGCAAGCGTTGTGTGTTAAATGGAGCGTAAACTTTGTGAACGTCAATATTTGCACAGCAGTAAAAGTTTTTAAATTAAACTGGCAATTATACAACAGTGTATGTTAGACAGATGTCCTGACAACCTAAGTTCGTAAATCATTTTATTTTTTATTTTGTGAAATTTATGTTTCATAAATATTTATAGCAAGATAATTTATAAATCCCCTCGTTTAGGTCTAGCTGGGCATCTCTATAGCTTTAATTTTGTGTAAAAGGCATAGTTTACTTGCCATTCCCATGTAGGTAAAAAAGGCTTTCTGAGATCACAGCCCATATAGCTAGATGAAAATTAACTTGCCGTAAAATCTAAGATAGAACCGAAAGATAGCCCACCCCTATTTTTGGCTTGATTTGCTATATTTTTTAACCACCAAAAGATAGTGCACTCCTAGTAATTGCAGTGCTGGGATCAATCATGGCCTCGGTGTAAATGTGGCTAGTTCGCTATGGCGGGATATAAGCGAACATTGCTGAGTGGGAAGTAGTCATCTTTGCTTCGTTGCCCCTCGCCACCATAACAGGCTTGGAAGGGACATGACATAAAAATAGCAATTTTTTCAAACTTCATTGTGCACCAAATGTTAGCCCACTCCATATTTTTAGCCGATTTGCTCCTGATGTTAGGTGGGCTATATGTCGGGATTTTACGGTAGTACATTGTGTAAATTTTTGAACAACCTTTGTGAGCTGAAATGGGTTTTTGTTCAGGAATGATGCTGTAATGAAAAACTTGGAGCAACTATTCGACAAAAGCCAGTATTCGCTTCAAATCTGTTTCAAGCTCAAACTCCACTATTTGCACATGCCTAAAAACTGCATCAAAACGCCGCTTCATATTTGCATAAGTATGAAATAATTCCTTTGCATTCTCATGTGTATCATACATAGTGGTCTGATCTAATGTATTGTTTCTATTAGTCTTCTGCCCTGTGTGAATATGACAAAGTTTCTGCGCGCTTTGATTGATGTCTGGCGAGTTTTCAGGGTCAATTATTTTGTAATGTCATAACTAGTAAACTACTGCCCTTAAAGGGGCCATGCAACAATATTCGTTTGGAATGTTTGGGCATGATGCAGTAGTGAAAAGCTTGGAGAAACTACTCAATTAGAAAATATTCAACCAAAGCCACTATTCGTACATGCCTAAAAACTGCATCAAAATGCCGCTTCATATCTGCATAAACGTGAAGCATATTTTTCACACCTTTTATTTGTAGCATTCAGCACCTGGAAGCAAGATGAAGAGGCCAAGTGGTGTTCAAAGTATGTCTGCAATACAGGTGCCAAGCCTCTTGTAGATGGTAGCATGCGGCAATGCTTCGAGTGCCACCGCTCGGGAAAAATGAAAGCCAGTAGAGGAAAAGGCGAGCGAATGATGAAAAGCCAAGGAAGCTGCAAGAGTGGAAAGAAGTGCTTTGCAACCATGACTGTGACAACGCAAGGGAAAGCCAAGGAGGTCATTTACCAGAAGCAGCACTGCAGGCATGGACATTGGACACCTAATGCTGACAGATAATGAAAGGGCAGAAATTGCTGGTAAGGTTTCTAATATTCGATTCAGGTGGAGCTGCACCAAATTAAACTATGGTTTGGTAGCTCTAATTTAAGTTGTAAACAAATAAAAAAAAAATATAAAAGCAAAGTATGCTCAGTTAATTTTTTTAAAATTCGGTTTTGACCGAAATTGTCAGTTTTAAGACAGCGAGGTATGGCTAGCAAGGTAGTAGGTTGCTAGGGTGAATTCATTATTGTCTAAGCCCACAAAATTTGCATACTGAGTGCTAAGCTTATCTTTGGGATTGCCCTTTATTGTGTTGGCAGAGTGTTCCAGCAATCAAAAGCTTTTCTGATTAAATTAATGTCTGGGCTGGTCTTGCGGGTAAATCTTGTACTTTCCAACACCTTTCATCAAGCTTACTCATGAATGGTTAAGGAAGGCGTAAATATGATCCCCCCCCCCCCCCCCCCCCGCAGGGGGCGCCTACACCTTCGGTGTTAGGTGCTTGGTGAGTAGCGCCACCACGGACCCCAGCAACGCGGGCCACCATACCCGCACGCAGGGGGCACCTGCCTTGGTAGGTGCTTGGTGAGTGGCGCCACCGCGAACCCCGAGCCATGTGGGTTTACCCACCCACGCCTGGCTGTGCGTGGCTTAACCCGTGTCCGGGGAAAAGGGGACCCTGGTGGTTGAGCTGAGCCCGGGGTATGTTTGGACCCTTCGGGGCCCCCCGGGGGCGGCAATACACCGCTTCGACCTCTGCTTCTCGTAGACGGGTGTCCTGGCTTGGCCCGACCAGGATGATTCAGTCAGTCGCCTCCTCTACTCTCTTCTTCCTTCTTTCACTTTTCCTCCCACCTCCTTCTCTTTTCTTCTACACTCTCTTCCTTCCTTTTTCACCTTCTTAGGCGGCAAGGGCCAACCTTGAGTGGAAACAGGTCCTGTCCCTGCAACCACATTAGGGTATAGTGCCCGGGCAGCACTGGTAGTGTAATTGTGTCAGCCAAGCCTTTCTTGCTATGGCACATTACCCACCCCCTTGTTGGGCTCCGTGGTGGGCGGTGCACCCGGGCACTGAACTTCCCTTCCCATCTTTATGGGTTACAAACAAAAAAACACTGATCGGGCCCTGAAAAGGGTCCGCACCGAAGTAAAAGACCATCCTGCACAGCGTATTGAATTTATAAAATTCCCAAAGTTTCTAGTACTTCACTCAGAGGACGAAAAGCCACTTGCAAAATTATCCCCCTTTCTCGTATCAAAGGTGCTTGAAGGTATTATTGGAATAAATTTTAATGCCAAAAAGATGGCATCAGGTGACCTTCTTGTCGAAACTAATACAAAACAACAAAGTGAAGCTCTCCTAGCTTTGAACTCCGTCGCAGATTACAAAGTCAGTGTAACACCTCATCGCAAGCTGAACACCGTACAGGGAGTCATCTCTGAGGATGACTTACTTGAACCATCTGAGGCAGAGATCGTTGAGGGCCTCTCTGGCCAAGGGGTGGTAGCTGCACGCCGCATCACCATCCGCCGAGACGGCGTTGAACGGAAAACCAAACACGTCATTCTGACCTTTGATTCGACTACACTACCAGAAACTCTGAAGGTTGGCTACCTACGGTGCCGTGTACGGCCCTATGTGCCGAACCCTCAGAGGTGCTTTAAGTGCCAACGGTTCGGCCATGGGTCACGGAGCTGTAGGGGAGCCGACACTTGCGCCAAGTGCTCCAGCAGAGAGCATGTTGCTGACAGTTGTGATAACAGTCCAAAATGCGCCAATTGGACGGTCCGCACCCGGCATACTCCCGCTCCTGTCCATTGTGCAGGGGTGGAAGCACTGTGCCAATTGCGCCACCCTGCGCCAATTCACTTCCCTGCGCCACCCTGCTCCGAAATGCCAATTTCAACTTGTTTTTTTGTGTTTTCTCTAAATTTAGCGGAAAACGGTTGGCCACGGGCCACCATGTTGTGTGTACTTTTGCTTAGGTGTCACTGCGGGTGACTTGTACCAACTCGACTGGGGCTCCGAACCATGTCTAACCTCAGGGCGAGGCGTCGATTTTAGTTCATCGAGAGTGCGATGTCGTTTTTTACTACAAAGAGTTTGATATACGAACACATCGGTTTGGTTTCGGGCATAGTTGGTTGGCGCGGTTGGAGCGCGCATGCAGTTGCCCGTGGTCCCGATTTGCTGTGATCGTGGGAGTTGGTGCCTCGGCACCGGTGGGCTACCTTGGCCATTAACATGAGCAGAAGGAAGTGGTCTTTACTAGCTTTACCTGTTATTTGGTAGCCTACCATATTTGGACGCTTAGCCGTGAAGAATCGCGAGCACAGGCACATCCGTTCTCGAGCTCAATTTCTCTTATCAAAACGAAACCAAAACCATCATTGGTTTTGGTTTCGATGCGTATGCATATCAAAGCTTGCTTATATAAAGATTTTTTAAAGACCCGAAACTTAGTTGTGCTTGCAAAATTTAAGACGTTGAGAAACCGTCTGAACCCAGATTTGAAGCGTTCAAAACGTAGCTACTACAACAATCTTTTTGACTCAGTATGTATGAAACACTCGGACTTAATTTGGAAGAGGCTTGGTGCTCTCTTCGGTAAAAAAACAAATTGTTCTAAAATAGAATCTTTAAGTATTGATGGAATAGAAAAATCTGGTTCTGCACTTTCAGATGCTTTTAATCATTATTTTGTAAACATTGGGTCAGGAACTTACTGTAGTGACGCAGGAAATAATATACCAAGAGTTTCTGAGACAATATTTTTTTATCCTGCCGATGAACACGAAGTTTATGCGGCGATGGCCAATTTACGCAACAACAACAGTTGCGATGTTGATAACATAAACATTAAACCTGTTAAACTTGTCATAGATATCATTGCGCCTTGTTTAACACATATTTACAACCTTGCTCTGACATCAGGAATATTTCCCATGGGTATGCAGACCGCGAAAGTAATAGTATTGTTCAAGAAAGGAGATAGAAATTGCATAGGGAACTACCGACCTATTTCTATTCTTCCCATTTTCTCAAAAGGCCTCGAAAAAATTCTGCACACGCGAATTACAAATTTTTCAAATAAGCATAAACTCCTAACTGACTCTCAATTTGGTTTCAGGAAATTCAGGTCAACCGAGTGTGCACTCCTACACCAAAAAGAGATAATACTGGACAATTTAGAAGAAAAGTTGTCAACAGTCGGTATATTCTTAGATTTCAGTAAAGCGTTCGACTGTCTTGATCATGGTATTCTTTTAGATAAATTATTTTTATATGGTTTTCGGGGTGTTTCTCTTTCTTTCTTAAAATCATATTTTCAAAGTCGTCGGCAATATGTTTCAATCAACGACCATATGTCCTCTTTGCTAGGTATTAATTCTGGTGTTCCCCAGGGAAGCATTCTGGGACCACTTCTATTTCTTTTTTATATTAACGATATTGTAACTATTGACCCTGATGTAAATTTTATAATTTACGCAGATGATACGAGTATAACCGTTTCTGATAAAAATTATGAACATCTTGTTACCAGAGCAAATATTGTTCTATCTAAATTAAAATGTTGATGCGAAATTAACTCCCTCCATATAAATACTAATAAGAGCAAGGCTGTAATATTTCAACTACATTCTAGAACTCAAATTTATCCCTTCCTTTCAAATATGGTTCTGATATTATTCATTGTGTTGAAAATGTCAAAACTCTGGGTGTATTTTTTTCCTTTAACATGTCCTGGTCTGAACATGTTAAATATGTTCGTACTAAACTTTCAAAAATAGTTGGAGTAAGAAACAAATATAGAAACATTTTACCTACCAATATCAAACTTCAAATTTTTAAATCATTATTTTTCCCCGTCTTAGGATACGCGCATCTGATAGGGGGATCCACTGGTTTAACCAACTTAAATTTGCTCCGCGTGCTGCAGAAAAAAGCTCTTCGTGCAATAGCCAATGTTCCTACGACCTCACCATCATTGCCTCTCTTTGATAAATTTTCCATAACCGACGTGTCAAAACTTTACAGTCAACGCTTAATATGAACGTACCAATCGGCCCTAAAATGTAAATCCGAAACATTTCTGAACCTTGCTGACCTTCATTTGAAAATTCCAATTTATCGAACCCGTCAAATACATCCATGGCAAATACCAAGATCACGTACGAACTTTGGACATCAAAGAATTAAACATGCACTTCCTCACTTACTAAATCATGTCGCATCGCTAGAAATTGATATCACTTCACTTAATAAAAATAGCATCGTTAACATTGTATAAAAAAATTCACATTCTATGCTTTATTAACATTGTATAAAAATGCACATTGTATTGTTTTTCTAGATTTATTTGTTTATTAAATGATCTCTTGTTGCGTTGTCTGCCATGTAGAGGTGCCAGGGGCTCGTCAAGCTGCATATAAGCAGCTTTTTCTCTTGGTATCCCCCATCATGTGATGGAAAATAAAAGCTGATTTGATTTGATTTGATTTGATTGTGTGCTTGAATTTGCACGCTGTCGTGTGTTGTCTCCCGCCGTCAGACCACTGGCGAAAACAATACCCGCGATCTTAAGCGAGTTGGTTAATTGGCAGTGCTACACACTTTTTAGTTTCTTTCCTTTAGCGTGGAGGAGTGGGGGTGACATCAGAAATGCCGTACAACACTCCCGCGCTGCCGATTCCTGTCAAGAACGTACCTTGACTTGCTATAGCCACTCTACTCGAATAAGTTTCGGGTATAGGTGTATCTGGTTGGGGGGGGGGGGGGGTTGGGGGTTGGGTTGGGTTGGGTTGGGTAGGGTAGAGAGAAGTTGGTGGGCTTTTTGTCACGTAAGAAGGCAGCCTGCCCCGCAGGGATCAGCGCCTGATCAGCTACATCTCATTTTCAGTCTCGTTCAAACTGTCTTCTCTTAAAGCACTCCTACTGAGTGCACAAGAACTCATAAGCAAGGGTGAGGCAGTTAAGGACATGGACAAGGTGGAGAGTGAACACCTCCTGCTCAGAGATGTGAACTCTAAACTGCCCAAAGTACTCGAGCGCATAAAAGAAATTGACTCTGCTCTTCAAACTGGGAAAAAAAAGGTGAACTTCAGTTGTTTCTAAATTACACAGATTCAGCTTAGTCACAACCCCTTTTTTTTTTAACATGGAGCCTGTGGGCTCTTCTAGTCAGTGTTTATGCTGCATATGTATTAGTGGCTGTGATATCTTTATGACAATATATTTTTCCATCCAAAGTAATATAGATATAGCTTTGTATGTTAACTTGGGTGTAGGGATTACTGTAATTTATGAACAGGGATTAAGAACATTTGTATTTAATGAAAACAGGTCAGCAAGGACTGCTTTATTCTGAAA